GAGATTTTTTCAAAACAAATGTTTTGTTGCCGTCTATGCAGCATGTGACTTGTATAATAGGATGTCCAGAAAAGGCAATAAGGCAGACATTAGCAGCCAGGACAGGTCTGCAAAAATACATTTAAGGAAATACAATTTAGTTGAAATAATTGAAAATAACTTCTTGAAGTATAAAGCACACATGGACCTATTTCATGTTACTTTGCACTGTTGCAAAGTTTATTCTGCGCTAGTTACAGTATGACAATATTTTAAACATTCTTATGATAGTGTAATTTGTAAAAAAAAAGTAATCACTGAAATCCAAGAAACATCACTTTATGTATTACACACTATACCTCACCAAAGCTCCCAAGGATATTAGGAAGTGCCAGTGTTCTATGCAGCAATCCCCCAGATAAATTAGTGGGTGACTTCACAGCTTGTTTGTGGGATATTGCTGGTCGCAAATTGGTAGTGACATTTCCCAAAAAATACATAGTCACAGTACTTTACAGTAAAATCCTTTGAATCACTTCAATAAGTTTCAACAACGAAATAAGGAGATATATCAAATGAAAGGATTATTAGTACCTCTTACACTGTCCTAATGATGAAATTAAGAGGGTAATTTTCCTCTGTTATTCTGAGATTACAAGAGTATGATGAGAGTTTTGGGACTGGAAACATTAAAAGTATCCATGTAGGCACAGATTGCTACCACATGGGTGCTTCATTGTGTATTGGGTGGATGCAGTGGAGCTGTGAACTTTGGCATTAATTTCCCCTTTCCACGCAGGAGAAGTGTGAATGGACTCTCAGACCTTCCCCACAGGGTCTGATTTGAACAAGAAGCTGCATTGCTATTTCAGTAGGACGAGAGACATAGCTCAAGAAAATAAAAATGCCACAAGAATAATTGGAAAGATTTAGACCATAAACACACATTTGCCTTTCCTGATGCACCCCTCTAGGATGACTTCATGGTTGAATTATTTTCAAGATTATTGTGGGGTTTTTTTGTTTAACTTTATAAGCTTGTAAAACCACATTGGGGGAAAAGGAAGTCCGATTCAAAGAATTTATCATTTCCATTTGGTTTTCTCTCGGGAGTATTGGAATATACACTGCAGATGGAACAGCTGAGTCCAGATAGAAGATAACAGTTCTGTTGGAGGATAGTGTTCAGAACAAATTACTATGGTGCTGGGTTTTTCACTAAAATATGATCATTTCCTCTGCCTGTCAGAAAATCAATTTTGTACAGTTGGAATTTGAAATTGACGGCTCGGTTTTACAGAATATTGAAAATGTTTAGTCTCTACTCTGTCTCTGAAGGACGTGTTCCCTTACCTGTGAAATGAGCCAACTCTATAGGACTTTCTAAAGATTTGCCTGGAGTTGATTCTTTGTAGTCAGTAACATAGGAAGATAGGAATGCACACTATAAAAGACCAGCCCACAAAGCTACAGGACTCCACAAACTTGGGCTCCTTTGTGGTAAAAATAATAATAATAATCGATGCATTTGATATAGCGCCTTATCACTTTTTCGAGTTGTCTAAAAGCGCTTCACATGATACATTGTAAAGTGGATGACTGTGTATTTTGTGGTGATATTATGGGTTCCATCATGTTCCAATCACTAGAAAATACCGTTCATTTGATTACAGTATAACATTGTGGAGTCCTGTAGCTCAGTGGTTAGAGCACTCGCTTTGCAAGATTTAGAAGTGAACTCAGAGCTGCAAGATACCAGCAAAAATATTAGTTTGCATGTGCATTCAAGGCCACTGGATCAAATACCTGCAATGCTTTTTTTATCCACAATGGGTGCAGTCCCAATTAGTGCAGATAACTGTCTCTCTACTACACATTGTTTTTAATTAGATTTCATATTATGATAAACAATGCAAAGATTCCTCTTTATAGTCACCACCACATGACAGATCCCATTATGTCAGAGCACCAAAAGCCTTTCATAGAATCACCGATTATTACAGCACAGAAGGAGGCCATTCAGCCCATCGTGCCTGTGCTGGCCCTTTGGAAAAGCTACCCAATCAGTCCCCCTCCCCCGCTCTTTCTCCATATCCTTGCAAGTGTTTCCTTTTCAAGTACCTATCCAATTCCCTTTTGAAGGTTGTTATTGAATCTGCTTCCATCACCCTTTCAGGCAGTGTATTCCAGACAAAAAATCTCATCTCCTCTCTGGTTCTATCTTGAATCTATTGGTTATCAACCAATGGAAACAGTTTCTTCCTATCTACTCTATCAAATCCCCTCATAATTTTGAATACCTCTATTAAATCTCCCCTTAATCATTTCTGCTCTAAGGAGAACAATCAATCTCAGCTTCTCTAGTCTCGCCACATAACTAAAATCCCTCCTCCCTGGTAAATCTCCTCTGCACCCTCTCCAAGGCCTTGATATCATTCCTAAAGTGTGGTCCCCAGAATTGGACACAATACTCCAGCTGATGCCTAACCAGTCTTTATAAGACTTGTAAAGGTTAACAGAACTTCCCTTCTTTTGTACTCTGCTTCTATTTATAAAGCCAAGTATCCCATTTGCATTTTAACAGCTCCAACAACCTGTCCTGCCACCTTGAAAGACCTGTGTATGTGAACCCCCAGGTCTCTGCTCTTGTACCCATTTTAAAACTGTACCACTTAGTGTACATTGCCTCTCCTCATTCTTCCTCCCAAATTGCATCATCTCACATTTCTCTGCATTAAATTTCATCTGCCATGTGTCTGCCCATTTCACCAGTCTTGTCTATGTCCTCCTGCAATCTGCTACAAACCTCCTAACTGTTTACTGTGTTCCCAAGTTTTGTGCCATCTGCAAACTTTAAAATTTTGCTCTCTTTACCCAATCCAAGTGTTTGGTTTCAGGGGCAATGCTGATGTTGTTGCTTTCAGGGGCAATGCTGATGTGTTTGCTTTCACGGGCAATGCTGAAATTAGCAGCAAATTTGTAATGCAGCACAGACACCCATACAGAGGCAGTAAAGAACAAGGTCACCACCGGGTTGCAGAAGCATTGTTGCTCCTCTCTGCATATCTGTTACAGGTTCCCACTTGTAGAGTGACAGGGGCAGATAGCAGAATAAAATAAATATCAGTAGTTAGAGCACCCACTTCAGAAGCGAGAGATCTGGGTTCCATTCCCGGCAGGGCGAAATGTTGGGCAAGTTTCCTTACTCCACATGCCTCTGTTTACCTAGCAGTAAGTAAGAACTAAGTTGTGAGTCGATTGGCGGATCACTTTTCCGGGGATAACAATCCCTCAAAAAAATAATTTGGTCACTCAGTCCACAACTGTTTGTGGGACACTGCTGTGCGCTGCCGTGTCTCACCCACAAATATACAGTCAAATCACTTTAAAGTATATTCTGTGAAGCGCTTTGGGTGATTACTTAGGGTGTTAGTTTGGGTGTTTAGAAGATGTGAAAGTGCTATATCAAATGCAAGGATTATTATTATTATAGATTTACTTTAGATGCATGGCATCCAGCTATAAATTTTACGTGTTTCTAATCATCTAGGATTTCTTTCTATTTGGACTTCCAACTAGACTCCTGAATTTTGCATTTCATTTGTAGATTAGTTCAGCTCAGACCCACTCAGATGAGCAATGTTTTATATGAGGTGGCTTGATGAAGCCTGAATGCTTATTTACACGGCTTTCATGCAATGTTGGATGCTCTTACCCTACTGTTTATCACAGCATTTTGTTTATCTCGCTTAATCGGTTCCAGAATATTTGGGTACATTTATTCTAAACTGTCTCAGAATGTTATTACTTCCTTACTTTGTTTGCAAACATAGCCTCTGGGATTTCAAAGGGATATTGGAAGAAGTTTATTTAAATATTGTGCACAGAAAAGAGGAAATTGATTTTTTTTTACACAATGTTGTATGCCTGTTAAACAGTAAAATGCATTATCAGTGAATTCTGTTTTTAAAATAGTGACAAAATTATTCCCTCCTATATTAATTTGCTTTAGCAGCTTTAACTACAAATATGATAGAAAGTATGAGAAAATTGCTAAACTTTGTATGTGATTCCCTGCTAAATTCAATCAACTTTACTTTGTTGGCTGATGAATAGCTATCAGTTCTAAGAGTGAACCTGGAGTGCAGGCTGGCTATTGTGTAGATAATGTGCTTACACAAATTTCCAGGGCATCTTTTGTTCACTTGTAGAACCTCAAAAAATCCTTGGGTACTGTAGCCTTGTGAAATATGGACAGTAGTGAAATATAGGTATTTAAAGACCTTTGTAGGCTCAGTTGCTCTTAAAAAGGATCCTTGTCGGAAGGCTCATGATTTTTATTGTTAATAATAAGAATAAATAATAATACTTGCATTTGTTATAGCACCTTTCATGTCAGGTGGACATCCCAAAGCGCTTCACAGGATATATTGTAATGTGGAAATGGAATAATTGGTGTTTTGTGAATAAATGCAGCAGCCAATTATGCACAGCAATGTCCCACAAACCGCAATAGAGTGAATGACCAATTTAATCTGTAGGAGACGTGGAGCAGGCTGGCACTTGCCTACAGAGGGAACAGACAGGTTGATGTGGTGTTAGCAGGTCACAGAGGTAGGAAGGAGCAAGGCCGTGGAGGGCTTTGAAGGCAAAGACGAGGATAACCCCAGGACTGCATTGGAGTGTCAACTTGGACTATATGAGTTGCAAGTTCCGATGTGGGGATTGAACCCAGAACCTTCTGATTCAGAGGCCAAAGTATTATGAACTGAGCCAGGCTAACACTGTCAGATGTTTTTTTTTGTTAATTTTAATGTAACTTGGTATGCAGATGAAAAAAAGGGGTAATGTTATTTAAAATGGCATGACACAAAAAGGTAAGTTTATTATAGGACAGGTTATACGTCCTGAAAATCTTTCCAAAGAGAATCTGTGCACATATAGGTTGTGTTTTGTTCAGTACATGGTCATAGTCATTGTGATTATGTCTAACAGTGTATATCTTTGTTTTCCAAATATAGACTTCGGGCATTTCTAAGATTGAAAGCCAGACACAAGGACAAATGCTGAGCAAAAGTGTGAGGTGGGGACAAACACCAATCAACCAGTCAACTCCCTGGGACACAGAGGAACCTCCATCGAAGCACATGAGGGAAATAGAACAGACTGGTATGTACAGCAACAACAACAACAACTTGCACTCATATAGCGCACTCCATGCTGGGTAGTGTCTCAGAGAGCTTAACAGTAGTGGAGCCTGATTCCGAGCCGGAGGGTTTGGAGGAGATGACCATAAGCACAGTCAAAAAGGAAGGTTTTCAGGTGGGACTTGAAAAAGGGAAGAGGGTGGGGAAAGGCGGAGGGATTGAGGGAGAGTGTTCCACAGTTTCAATATAGATCTTAAACCAAGAGGAAGCCATGCAAATGTTATGCTTTAGTTCTGGAACAATGGAGTGCTTATTTTTGTTTGAATCAAATGGAAAAGTTGCAGACTTCAAAAAGCACAGTTGGGGCTGAAAATACACCTAACAAAATGGGATTATTCTACCATTAAGGTGTTAGGAACATCCCAGGTTGATGGTGTCAATCCAATAGGATGGCATCAACAATTTAAGATTGTATCACTCCTTTCGTGTCAGATCATGTTTCAAAATGCTTCAAAGAGGTGGAGTGGGAATCTGGGCAGGGTCGGAGATAGGGTGGGGGCTGGGGGGTAAAAAGAGAGATTTTGGAATGTCCTACTGATGTGAAAGGCCCTACATAAGGATTTATTATATTGTAAGTTGTTTTGTTTTACAAGGTTTTCAAAGAAGTGAAGGACACAATCTGGAGAGATTTGGGGAGAAACTTGTCAGTCAATAGTGATTTGTGGGTGGGGAACATGCCATGGATTTAAGTTGGAGGGCAGAATGAACGGGCGGGGGAGTCATAGAGATATGGTGGGGAAAGTGTCTGGAGGTATTTGAAAGTTAGATCTTGAAGTCGATCTGCTGGAGAACAGGAAGCAAGTGGAGCCTCACGAGAATGGGTGTTGATGGACTTCAGTCCTTATGATAAATGTCACATTAAGGTGAAATGTCCTCTATATCTTTCAATCTATGTGATTATATTGTAACATTCAGGTTAAATGTCCTCGATATCAGTGTTGTCGACCCAGATTTCTACTGAGCCACATGTGTGGCTCTTGAACAAGAGTGTGGCTCATAAACAACAGCGTGAGTCACACCAATCGCAAAATGTTACACCAGAGATACATGTGTGAGAAGCCAATTCCATACAACATGAACCGAAGACAGACGCAGCAACAGTGTAGTCGTAGTGGGATCACTACAACAAAGATATTGCAAACATGGCTAGGATTATTCTCCTTGCAGCAGAGAAGGTTAAGAGGAGACTTAATAGAAGTTTTCAAAATTAGGAGGGAATTTGATAGGGTAAAAAAGGAGAAACTATTTCCACTAGCGGGTGGGTTGGTAACCCGAGGACACCAATTTAAAATAGTTGTTAAAAGAAACAGGTGAGGAGAAATTTTTTCACACAGCGAGTTGTTCGGATCTGGAATGCATTGCCTGAAAGGGTGGTGGAAGCCGATTCAAAAACAACTTTTAAAAGAGAAGACAATTATTTGGGGAGGACAATGTTGCAGGGCAATGGGGAGAAAGCGGGGGAGTGGGATTGATTTGGATAGCTCTTTTAAAAGAGCCAACACAGACACGATGGACCGAATGGCCTCCTTCTGTGCTGTGTGATTCTATGATTCTATGTGTATATACATCAAACTCTGGATGTTTTCAAATATTCCATATCAATTCAAACTTGCAGTGATTACACAAGAATTTATTATTTTTCAAATGTAACTTTGCAAACAAGTCATTGATGCTTGTACAGTTGCATGTGCAAACTGCTGGTAGTTAATTCACACATTTACATATAAAGTGAGTAGAAGCATCATAAGGTGAAAGTTGTATTCAATTAAATACATGGAATCTGGGAGCCACCGTGTATCTAGAAATTTCTCTAGTAAGTCTTTTTGAATATTCAATTGAAATAGCCATCTAAAATACTGCTCATCTGAATAATCAAACAAAACAAGCATACTCAATTGTTACATTTTTTGAGTGATAATATAATGACATAGATATGTATATTAAACCCACAATTCCCATGAACTGTTTTTCATTTTTACTGTGTACATATAACGTGTTTAAATAGCCATACACACTTGTAAGCAACTTGTCAGTGGGAATTATCTGAGACACGTGCTTTCTGCTGAAACTGAGGCAGCTTTGAGCCACACATGGCTCGTGGCTCTATAGTTTGACAACACTGCTCTGTATCCTTCAGTCCATGTTATTATATATTGTACCATTCAGGTTAAATGTCCTTTACATCCTTCAGTCCATGTGATGAATGTCACATTGAATGCAAATGTCATTCATGTCCCCCAGTCCTTCATGTCCATATGATAAATATTATATTTACAGCAAATCTGGCCACAACTCATACTACTTGCGTCACAAGGGTATTGTGTTGGTCAGAATGCTAATGATTCACACAGCCAGAGGTGACTCCTCTGTGGATGATGAGTCTGATGCAAGACAAATCAGGCTAACTCAAGCACTCACGCTGCACGTGAAAACGACAAAGGTTGATCTTGGCCGTGCTGATGGTTGTCCCATCGGCGCTGGTGACTGTGTATTCTCTTTGCTTGACCTGCATGCACTTGCTGGGACCTGCAGTAATGAAGGCTGCTGACAAAGTCTACTCACCATTCACTTTTGTTCATGGCAACTGCCCCTACGTATCAATGTCAGTGATACAGTTAGAGGTTCTGTAATATCCTCCTGGGGGAAGATAAATGGTGGCTCCTTAGCCAATTCCATCCTGGTTCCAGGGTGACATGAAGTCCACCCTCTGTGACAGTCTCAGTAGTTTATCCATGAGTCAAGCAAATCCACAGTATTCAAAGGTACTGATGATGATGATGATGATGATGATGATGACAGACCAGCCAGCCTAGCTTGGCAGCAGGCCTCAGAGGGCCATGGACTAGGGATTTTTCCAGCTCAGCTCCTGTTAACCATGCAAGTCAAAGCCGTAATGGGTAAGGTGCTCTTATCTGGACGAGCGGAGGGAAGCTTGGCAGACAGTAATGGCAAGCTGTGAGATTTGTGCTGGTGAAACTTCAGCAGTACCTCAACAAACACGCTGGATTCTTTTTCAGCTCCAACACCAATAACTTTCATTTCTATAGCACTGTTCATACTGGGCAGCATCTCAGAGGACTTAACAGTGGAGCTGAGAAGAAAAGGGAGTTGACCATAGGCACTGTTGAAGAGAAAAATCTTCAGGTGCAATCTGAAGATGGGTAAAGAGGGGGCATGGTGGAGGGATTGAGACAGTAAGATCCAGAGTTTGGGGCATAGTGGCTGAAAGCACAGCCACCAATACCCACTGAAGGACGTGCAGAATTCCAGAGCCAGCTGAGCATATAGAGGAGTGGGGTGTAAGCAGGTTGGAGAGATAGGGAAGCTCCAGGGCCTGAAGTGATTTGTACACGAGTGTGAGGATCTTAAAATCAATCTGCTTTGCAACAGTGGAGCCTAGCAAGCATTGAGATGATGGGGGTGCAGAGTTTGGTTTGGGTGTCTATACAGGCATTTTAATGTTTTGAGAGAAGTTTTGGTCTATTATTAGTGATCTTTCTATATTCAGTGATGGAAAGCAATGTGAAGTTATGCCTAAGTACACCAATTGCCTGTGTTTGTCCAGTTCCTCAGTGGAGAGGATAGGTGGGTGGAGTATTCTGGTTATTCAGATCTTACCTGTGTGAACGTTTTATTTAGGTGGAGTTTGTGTAAATTTGAAGAGTCAGTCAGCTGTTTCACAAGTGAATTTGTTTTTACTGTTGACACTCCACAGATTGCCAAGTGACAGTTGCAGAGTGGAGTTGCTATGGTTATAGTTAGCACTTGCTTATACTGTGAGGCAGCACGCAGCTGTCTACTTTATTTTTAAGCTGCCAGAAGCTCATATGAAAGTATTTCTGACTGGGGCTGTTACCTTAAGTAAATGGGCTAACATTTTGCATTTCATGTACATGAGACAATACCTGCCCGTACAAAAATGGCATTGCAATTCAATAGTTTTAAAGTTCTGGTGTTTAAAAAAATCATTTGCTACACCAACTCATCCTGGTGAACTTCTATATAAGTAGAATTGATTCTTGCAAAGGTCTTCTTTGTCTGGCACTGGATTTCTGGTTTCATATTCTGCCTGCTTTCTGCATTTTCTTTACAAACTGCTTCCACGCTTCTTCCCATTGCTCTCCGCGCTGTCTCTGTTTATATCTCCTACTCCAGCTCTCTTCCCATTGCTCTCCTCTCATAATGTACTTGAAAAGTCACCATGCCTACACCTATAAGTTGGGGAGAGGTTGCGGCAGTCCCTACCCCATCCTCTATTATCACTGGCTATATCAAATGGTTACTGCTATCAGAATTGACTGGATAAGTTAGGTCTTTTTTCACTACAGAAGAGAGATTAAGATCAGACCTGATAGAGGTGGATAAGCTTAATATAAATAGGCTGTTTCTTGGTAACCGGGGACACAAGCTTAAGATAGTGACAAGGGGATCTGAAAGAGAATTTAGGAGGAACTTCACACAGAAGAGTGGTGCGGAGAATGGTGACTTTGGAAGAGAATTCTACAAGACAGGAGCAATAGTATCTGAAGGAGAGATGTTATGGCACTGACCTAAACCATCAAGCTACAAATCGATGCTGGTGACCTGTAGCTTTGCTATGTTTGCTTACACTGACTTAAGTCTAACTCAGCATCTGACACACAACTTGTAATTCACTCCTGACAGCCCATAACTCTATAAGTAATGCTGTATATACATTCCAAATTGATATGCCCCACAACATGTGCTTTCATTCAGAGGATACGTAAAAAGTTTGCATTTGTGACTTATTTATTGTGCACGAATGATTCATAAATTCACTTCTTGGTAGTGATTAATTGCACCAGTAAAAAATAAAAACAAAACCAGTTGTAAGTCGTAGTTTGACAACTGACATCTCATTCAGAATTAATTTAAGAGGGCGTGTACACTTCCACCATTTTTCTCCTATAGATTAAATGCAGCATCTCACTGATGATGGTT